TGGACAGAGAGACCTACAACACATGGAGTCTACGATTGGACAGAGAGACCTACAACACATGGAGTCATCAACTGGACAGAGAGACCTACAACACATGGAGTCAACGACTGGACAGAGAGACCTACAACACATGGAGTCAACGATTGGACAGAGAGACCTACAACACATGGAGTCATCAACTGGACAGAGAGAGACCTACAAAACATGGAGTCAACGACTGGACAGAGAGACCTACAACACATGGAGTCAACGACTGGACAGAGAGAGACCTACAACACATGGAGTCATCAACTGGACAGAGAGAGACCTACAACACATTTAGTCAACGACTGGACAGAGAGAGACCTACAACACATGGAGTCATCAACTGGACAGAGAGAGACCTACAACACATGGAGTCAACGACTGGACAGAGAGACCTACAACACATGGAGTCAACGACTGGACAGAGAGACCTACAACATTTGGAGTCAACGACTGGACAGAGAGACCTACAACATTTGGAGTCAACGACTGGACAGAGAGACCTTTAACACATGGAGTCACTGACTGGACAGAGAGACTTACAACACATGGAGTCAACGACTGGACAGAGAGACCTACAACACATAGAGTCAACGTCTGGACAGAGAGACCTACAACATTTGGAGTCAACGACTGGACAGAGAGACCTACAACATTTGGAGTCAACGACTGGACAGAGATACCTACAACATTTGGAGTCAACGTCTGGACAGAGAGACCTACAACACTTGGTGTCACCGACTGGACAGAGAGACCTACAACACTTGGTGTCACCGACGGGGCAGAAAGACCTACAACACTTGGTGTCACCGACTGGGTAGAGAGACCTACAACACTTGGTGTCACCGACTGGACAGAGAGACCTACAACACTTGGTGTCACCGACTGGGCAGAGAGACCTACAACATTTGGAGTCAACGACTGGACAGAGAGACCTACAACACATAGAGTCAACGACTGGACAGAGAGACCTACAACACTTGGAGTCAACGACTGGACAGAGAGACCTACAACATTTGGAGTCAACGACTGGACAGAGAGACCTACAACACTTGGAGTCAGTCAACGTCTGGACAGAGAGACCTACAACATTTGGAGTCAACGACTGGACAGAGAGACCTACAACACTTGGAGTCAACGACTGGACAGAGAGACCTACAACACTTGGAGTCAGTCAACGTCTGGACAGAGAGACCTACAACATTTGGAGTCAACGACTGGACAGAGAGACCTACAACACTTGGAGTCAACGTCTGGACAGAGAGACCTACAACACACGGAGTCAACGACTGGACAGAGAGACCTACAACATTTGGAGTCAACGACTGGACAGAGAGACCAACATTTGGAGTCAACGTCTGGACAGAGAGACCTACAACACATGGAGTCAACGACTGGACAGAGAGACCTACACCATTTGGAGTCAACGACTGGACAGAGAGACCTACAACATTTGGAGTCAACGTCTGGACAGAGAGACCTACAACATTTGGAGTCAACGACTGGACAGAGAGACCTACAACATTTGGAGTCAACGTCTGGACAGAGATACCTACAACACATAGAGTCAACGACTGGACAGAGAGACCTACAACACATGGAGTCAACGACTGGACAGAGAGAGACCTACAACACTTGGAGTCAACGACTGGACAGAGAGACCTACAACACTTGGAGTCAACGACTGGGCAGAGAGACCTACAACACATAGAGTCAACGACTGGGCAGATTGACCTACAACACATGGAGTCACTGACTGGGCAGAGAGACCTACAACACATGGAGTCACTGACTGGACAGAGAGACCTACAACACATGGTGTCACCAACTGGGCAGAGAGACCTACAACACATGGAGTCAACGACTGGACAGAGAGACCTACAACACTTGGTGTCACTGACTGGGCAGAGAGACCTACAACACATGGAGTCACTGACTGGACAGAGAGACCTACAACACATGGTGTCACCAACTGGGCAGAGAGACCTACAACACATGGAGTCAACGACTGGACAGAGAGACCTACAACACATAGAGTCAACGTTTGGACAGAGAGATCTACAACACACGGAGTCAACGACTGGACAGAGAGACCTACAACACATAGAGTCAACAACTGGACAGAGAGACCTACAACACATAGAGTCAACGACTGGACAGAGAGACCTACAACACATAGAGTCAACGACTGGACAGAGAGACCTACAACACATGGAGTCAACGACTGGACAGAGAGACCTACAACACATGGAGTCAACGATTGGACAGAGAGACCTACAACACATAGAGTCAACGACTGGACAGAGAGACCAACAACACATAGAGTCAACGACTGGGCAGAGAGACCTAAAACACTTGGAGTCAACGACTGGACAGAGAGACCTACAACACATGGAGTCACCGACTGTTCAGAGAAGGCCAGTTACAAGATGGAGTCACTGACTGTACAGAGATAGCCAGTTACAAGATGGATCTAAGTGGGTGATATCTGCAGCAATGAACCTTGGGAGATGGGAATGAATGAAACCATACACTCGGGACATTCCCACACGTGCTTCGTCTCCTACTTCAGTAAGCAACGAAGAGTCGACATGCTAGTAGTACCAGTGGCGATCTGACTGAAAGTCCGCCCATGTCGGCCTCAGTGTTGGATATCTTCGAGAACCCCGTCACACCCACTCCCAGTCGCCAGATAATTAAATTAGTCTTTCAGTGTTTGAATTCTATGTTCTACTGCACTCTCCATTATAAAGACGAGATGCATATCGTCCAAAAGATCACATCAATAGGCAGGACTCTTTGTCCCAGTTGGTGGACATGGGGATGCAGCCTGGAGGCAGGACTCCTTGTCCCAGTTGGGGGGACATGGGGATGCAGCCTGGAGGCAGGACTCCTTGTCCCAGTTGGTGGGACATGGGGATGCAGCCTGGAGGCAGGATTCCTTGTCCCAGTTGGGGGGACATGGGGATGCAGCCTGGAGGCAGGACTCCTTGTCCCAGTTGGGGGACATGGGGATGCAGCCTGGAGTACCCAGATACGAACATTTCACCAAAGACACAAAACCTATTCAGTCAACAAAAAGGGGGTCTGATCTGTCCGAGGGCCCTATTATAACCTAAAGGTTGAAAGAGGCTTACTAAGGTTTGTACGTGTAGGCTTCGCATGCTTGAAGTGTTTATTGTGTTCACCGCAATGGTCAAGTAAGCAGTATATGACCTCGACAGGTTCCATGGTGTAATGGTTAGCACTCTGGACTCTGAATCCAGCGATCCGAGTTCAAATCTCGGTGGAACCTAATTTTTTTATTTTTACACTCTAACTTTTACTTTTTTGTTATAAAAACTTCATGCCATGTGTGTGGTTTTATTATGATTATTTATATTATTAGCAGGATATATAAGTTAATTAGACCAAGGCAAAGTGAAATCGTGAAAATGTAAATATATATAAACACGAAGTATTTGCGAGTTTTACAAATTACAATTACAAGAAACAAAGAAATCAATGCGAGGGTGTTGTGTTTCATTGATGTTAGCAGATGAAGGTATTTTGCCTAAACATCACTTTAAAAAAATTGTAATTGTGCAGAAATAGCCGCAGCAGTGGTATCAGCAACAACAGTCTTAGTTTAGCAGCAGCAGTAGTATCAGCAGCAGTAGCAGTATTGTTTAGGCAAGTGCAACATGTGAAGCTGCACAGAATGGCAACATTTTGAAGGGGCGGCTTCCCGTCTCCTGGGGGAAAAAAAAAAGGGGGGGGGGGGTCTAAGGAACACAAATTAGGCAAGGTGGCCTGTCCACAACCAACTATTATGAGTGTTTGTACAAAACACTGGTAAACTGTAAGTAGTTTATGTTTTTCTGCTGTTCAAATAAAAGCCTTGTTATGACTTTTTGTTAACGTTATATCCATAATCTCTTGTCAGTATAATATAATGTATAATTTAACAGTTAATATTTTGCCTTCAGTAGCCTAGTTAAAATACATATCGACTGTCTTACTGTGTAACTGATTCTATCTTAAGCCCTAGTGAATGACGTCACTGTCTGTTACCAGGCCCTCTCTATGGCTAGCCTCTTACATTTGATCCAACAAAACAATCATCTTTCAAAAAAGCAATTGTATTTGATCTATAAGCATATTATGTTCATAAAACAATATACGTAGTAATAAATATTACTTTAAACTACACAAAAGCAGGTACTGGAAATGTATACAATAAATAGGAAAGTTGCTAAAGAAGGAGACGACAGTACAATGGGTGTCCAGATGTTTCTCGAATTCGTGTAAATAGAGCACAGCTCAAAGGACAACGACATTCAATAATTGAAGAATGCAGTGGGAAACCAGTTAATAGGCCAAAGTACAGGAACGTGCAGAAAACATGACCTCACAAACAGATCGCGGGAGGATTGAGTATATATGTATCTATGCATCACTTTATGCTCACCAGGTTCCATGGTGTAATGGTTAGCACTCTGGACTTTGAATCCAGCGATCCGAGTTCAAATCTCGGTGGAACCTATTTTTGTTTTTTAAGTTTTAAGACGTAGTTGCCCCGTTTTTCATTTCAAACAATCTGCATTAAAAAAAAACAATAAGGATTAAGGATTTATTTTTAATCCTTTAGAAGTATGACTGATTGAGTTGATATACAATACATGTGACTTTATTTGTGACGTTATCTTTTGATGGTGGTTCAGTGTATAATTATAATCTGTCCTCAGTAATCCTCTAAGGCCAGGGCCTCAAAGGGCTGAAACCTTGTTAAACTTGCAATAATAATAATTGTTAGTATTATTAGTAATGTTCCTATTAATATTCCTATTATTATTGCAAAATTAAACGAGTCTTGCACCTCTTCACGCCTGTAGAGAAGTTAGGCGAAAGGGGAGGGGGAAGGTGCTGAGTGCCTTTTATGACATGCTAGTTATGTGACTGTCTCTTTCTTCCAAAATAGAGTGCTCGCAACTCACATGTGGATTCAAGACAAAAACAAACAACTAAATGTTCACTTTTCATCCACATGCTTATTTTATTCCTTCATCCCTGTGTGGCTTCCGGCCGTGATCCCCGTGTGGGTTCCGGTCATGATCCTCGTGTGGGTTCCGGTCATGATCCTCGTGTGGGTTCCGGTCATGATCCTCGTGTGGGTTCCGGTCATGATCCTCGTGTGGGTTCCGGTCATGATCCTCGTGTGGGTTCCGGTCATGATCCTCGTGTGGGTTCCGGTCATGATCCTCGTGTGGGTTCCGGTCACGATCCTCGTGTGGGTTCCGGTCATGATCCTCGTGTGGGTTCCGGTACCGATCCTCGTGTGGGTTCCGGTCATGATCCTCGTGTGGGTTCCGGCCATGATCCTCGTGTGGGTTCCGGCCATGATCCTCGTGTGGGTTCCGGTCACGATCCTCGTGTGGGTTCCGGCCATGATCCTCGTGTGGGTTCCGGTCACGATCCTCGTGTGGGTTCCGGTCATGATCCCCGTGTGGGTTCCGGCCGTGATCCCCGCGTGGGTTCCGGTCATGATCCTCGTGTGGGTTCCGGTTATGATCCTCGTGTGGGTTCCGGTCATGATCCTCGTGTGGGTTCCGGCCATGATCCTCGTGTGGGTTCCGGTTATGATCCTCGTGTGGGTTCCGGTCATGATCCTTGTGTGGGTTCCGGCCATGATCCTCGTGTGGGTTCCGGCCATGATCCTTGTGTGGGTTCCGGTCACGATCCCCGTGTGGGTTCCGGCCATGACCCTCGTGTGGGTTCCGGTCACGATCCTCGTGTGGGTTCCGGTCACGATCCACGTGTGGGTTCCAGCCATGATCCCCATGTGGGTTCCGGTCACGATCCCCGTGTGGGTTCCGGTCTTGATCCTCGTGTGGGTTCCGGTCATGATCCCCGTGTGGGTTCCGGTCATGATCCCCGTGTGGGCTCCGGTCGTGATCCCCGTGTGGGTTCCGGTCGTGATCCCCGTGTATGTTCTTGTCGTGATCCCCCTGTATCTTCTTGTCGTGATCCCCGTGTATGTTCTTGTCGTGACCCACATGTAGTTCCGGCTGTGATCCCTGTTGGATTCCGAAAAACAAGAATAGGTCCACTGCCTTTCCAGCAAGAAATGTCGCAGGACTCCATGTGCATCAGTCCGAGTGGCAAGGAACAATCAGCTGCACACAAACTTAGGCCCAGGCACAAAGCCAAAGTCCAAGTGGACGAACAACCAGGACTTTCCGCCGGAGCTTGCAGTCGCTAAACACAAAAGAAGAAGAATGAAAGAAGTTCCGTATATTTGCAGGTACTGTGGGATATATAATCAAGCAGAATGGAAGATTAGAAAAAAAAAAAGAAAAATAGGTTCCACCGAGATTTGAACTCGGATCGCTGGATTCAAAGTCCAGAGTGCTAACCATTACACCATGGAACCTGCAGGACGATTGGAGCATTTATCCGCCCGTGTTAGCACAACACGACTCGCGTCAGCTGTTGTTGATTAGCTATATTTAGAATTAATGTCATTATACCGAGTCGCCAGGTGCGGGCCAGCTCTGAGGTTTCTATTTAGAAATCAAAAGAAAGACCCATGCCCCCCCCCCCTTTATCCTCCCATTCAGAAGCTCCAACACAAGTCTCAGGAACCCATATCTGCTTCCATGCTGTCATGGAGCCCTGGACTCTGATTCCAGCCATCCCAGGTCAACTCTCGCTGGAGAATAATATTTGTTTTTGTAATTTTGATTTGTGCATTTAAGTTTGGTTTTAATTGTTTGTTGGCTGTTTGGAAAGAGGGTGGATGGGTGGGGTGGGGATTAGAAGAAAAAAAAGGAGGAAAGGGTGGAAAAAGGGGGGGGGGGTGAGTACTCGAACGATAACTTTCTTTCCTGCTATAATTATTGTTATATTTCCATGATAATTTCAGAAATCTTTTCTTTTTGTCTTGTCTTCAATTTTATTCGATATCTCTTTCCAGTTTTTATACAATGTTCAATATTCTTTACAAAATTCCCAGTCTATTGTAGATATCAATCGTACTGAACAAACTCATTAAAAAAAATAGTTATAATGTGGGTTTTTTCTGACGCAATACTGGAACCCTTTTTATGCACACATTTTGTGTGTAGGAGAATTTGTATTGAGTACCAGCAATTGTTTTATGAGACAGTAAGTTTGGACACCTGTGGGGGGTGGGGAGAGAGAGAGAGAGAGAGAGAGAGAGAGAGAGAGAGAGAGAGAGAGAGAGAGAGAGAGAGGGGGGGGCGAGGGGTATGCACTGCTAGGAGTACTCAACAGTAACACACATACTAAACTTGATGTACTCTAGTATCTGGGTGGACGAGTGATTGAGCCAAACATGACTGGTTAAATTCCCAAACTCGCTGTGCATCAAATACCTGTCATAACATGCATTTCTTTCAAAAAAGTCGTACGTCCTTCTTAGGACGTTATTTTTTGTTATTTGAAGCCCCACTCTGGCTTTTGCCAGGGGCCGCAATATAGGCAGGTCATCATTATGGCCAAATGTCTGAACGCGGTTTCTGGGACCTCTCCACGGTGATCCTCATCCGCATGGTGGCACTTTGTGTCATCGGGTGTTTATCGCTTGTGTGATGTCCTGGTGGGGTAGAAAAAGCCAGCCAGTGCATTTCTTTCTATTAGTAATCAGTGTTGAACAGTCTTACAAGTCTATGGTTAAGCACCAGCAAGGAGATAACAATTAGAATTTTGAGAGCATGCATCTTCCCTGTGAAGTCAGATGTGAGTCGTGGACTATCTCTTAGTCCTTAAAAAAGAGAATAGGGGCTTTTGAGCTGAAATGCTATAGAAAGATTCTCAGAATATTTTGGACAAAGAAGATGAGAAATATTGACATCTTAAAAGATCTGAACATCAAGGAAGATTGGCTAATAAACAGCATCGTTTCTCGAAAGCTAAAGTATTTTGGTCATATCAAGCGCCACGACGGATTGGAAACAATTATAGCAGAAGGCGTGGTACAAGGAAGGAGAAGCATTGGCCGACCGACACGAAGATGGGCACAGGATATTAATGACTCCTGGAGTGTGAAAGTGTATGAGGCGGGAGAACTGGCAAGAGACCGAGTTTCTTTCAAGCAGACTGTGATGAGAGCGACGTTCTGCAAATGACCTGCTACATGATGATGATGATGAGTGATCAGTGAAGACTATGATAACAGCACTGCGGACAGATCCGTAGGTGCTCCGATCTCCTCCGGAAAGGCACCACAATTCAGTCTACAATTCAGTCTATTGTGTGCAAGAATCAGTTAGCGAGACGATGACCTTAGCAGCATATAACGACATTATATAAACAAAGAAAAAACCAATGCTATGGACCTGCTCAGGACATACAACTGTCTGAATTTACACTAGAACAAACTGCCAAAAACTAAAATTCGAGTAAAAGCACTGTAGTTTTCACTTCGCAACGCAGAACATATCTTCAGTTAAGATTCTGTTAAAGCTGAAATTGTTAAACAAGTGTCCGTTATCTTCATTGCACAAAGCTCAGACAGTTAACTACTAAACATCCTTGCAAACATCAAAAGTTCTGTACACAACGAGTGCATGTTGGCATTGCTCACTGAACGACGCTTTGTTTATGTTGTCGGGTCGGGATTCCCTGGGTCGTGTATAAAATTAGAAAGCTGATTGGTTGATATAAATAGCAGTAGTCTAAAAATGGAAGCTACCAGTTACAACAAGGATTTTTCCCGGGAACCCTCGGATTCCCTGAGATAAAGTAAACTAAAATGGCAGTACCAAATATTGTGATCTATTTACAATACAAAAAGAATTAATTTTAATATATATAACTTTTAAAATTAAAATTAAAAAACCTACAAATATTTATTTAAAATAGAACTAAGTTGAAAACAACTACAGGTTCCATGGTGTAATGGTTAGCACTCTGGACTCTGAATCCAGCGATCCGAGTTCAAATCTCGGTGGAACCTATAATTATTATACTTTTTTGTTTCATTTTCTTTCCTGTTAATCTTTTTTCTACATCGCTGAGGTACAAGGTCAAAGAGAAGAAAAACAGGAGGAAGAATCTTTTCCCTTTGGCTGTTTTTTTTTTTTTTATACAAATCAACATCAAACACTCGGGACACCCCCATAAGCGCTCAACCCCATCTTCAGTATCTAGCAAAGAATTCTAATGGCACTAGTACCTGATTGTATATCCTTAGAGTGTTGAGCGCCGACCAGATTCCCCTTTTAAAACGAAAATACTATTTTTCACTGTTATGTATAACATACCAATTTTCATGTATATTTCTTTAAGACCAAACAACACAAGTAACATCGAGTAAATTTGGAAATAAGTGAGTGTATTTGGCCAGAAAGGACTCGGGAGAGGAAGAGCACGAGGTATGTTCAACAAGTGTGCTACTACACCACTACTACTACTACTACTACTACTACTACTACTACTACTACTACTACTACTACTACTACTACTATTACTACTACTACTACTACTACTACCACTACTACTACTACTACTACTACTACTACTACTACTACTACTACTACTACTACTACTACTACTACCACCACTACTACTATTACTACTACTACACCCGCTAGTACTGCAACCACTTCTACTGCTACTGCTGCTGCTGCTACTACTATTGCTGCTGCTGCTGCTACTACTACTATTATTATTACTACTATCATTAATACTAAGCTAGTCGTAAAAGGCGAAATTTGAAGGCTATTTCTGAAATAGGATGTATTTGGCCAAAAAGCGCAGATACCACAAGAAAACGTGCCAACCATATTTTAAGTGCGAAAATAGAAGAAAAAGAAGAAGAAGCCTGATAATATGGATATGCAGAACAATACGTCTATCGTATGGGTTCAGGCGCGTCATTGGGAGGGGAGGGGGGAGGTAAAGGGGGACGTAAGAGACCCACTGCTCCTCTCCATAGCAAGCAGGTCGTAGTAGGCAACAAATTTGGGGTGCAACTGTCTGCATACAAATACGACTGATCGATAAAACAGACGTTCACACAAAACTCAGCTTCTGGAACCAGAGAAAGTCCAGGTTGCACAGCCGTTAACACAAGGATGAACAGAACAGGTCATATTTCACGGACATACACACAGTAAATAACAGCATTCTTTTATTCTGGTTCCTATTTCCTTCCAGTTGATCACTTGAACAAAATGCGTTTAATCAATTACTCAGTCAATCAGGAGCCGTCTCTACAATGAAGGGTGTTCACATACACCAAATGGATCGTCTTGGCCCTTTACTTTGAACGACTGCTGTTACTTCATCCTCAGACTACAGCCCCTAACATATCACCTCCCCTCCATCTTCAGACTACAGCCCCTAACATATCACCTTCCCTCCAGACTACAGCCCCTAACATATCACCTCCCCTCCATCTTCAGACTACAGCCCCTAACATATCACCTTCCCTCCAGACTACAGCCCCTAACATATCAACTCCCCTCCATCTTCAGACTACAGCCCCTAACATATCACCTTCCCTCCAGACTACAGCCCCTAACATATCACCTCCCCCCCCCTCCATCTTCAGACTACAGCCCCTAACATATCACCTTCCCTCCAGACTACAGCCCCTAACATATCACCTTCCCTCCAGACTACAACCCCTAACATATCACCTCCCCTCCATCTTCAGATTACAACCCCTAACATATCACCTCCCTCCATCTTCAGACTACAACCCCTAACATATCACCTCCCTCCATCTTCAGACTACAGCCCCTAACATATCACCTCCCTCCATCTTCAGACTACAGCCCCTAACATATCACCTCCCTCCATCTCCAGACTACAACCCCTAACATATCACCTCCCCTCGATCTTCAGATTACAACCCCTAACATATCACCTCCCTCCATCTTCAGACTACAGCCCCTAACATATCACCTCCCTCCATCTCCAGACTACATCCCCTAACATATCACCTCCCTCCATCTTCAGACTACAACCCCTAACATATCACCTCCCTCCATCTTCAGACTACATCCCCTAACATATCACCTCCCTCCATCTT